CTTTGCCAAAGGTGGCTCACAAAATTTTCCCTTATCCCATCTCTATCACTTCCCGCCTTTTCAGCTCCCCAGGACAGTTACGGTGGAGGTCCCGGGGGGGGGGAGGCAACTGTCTCACCGGTTGTCGCCGCTGCGGTGCCAAGCCCGCAATATTCATCATGGCTCGCTGAAAATCCGCGGCCGTCAACCCACCGCCACCTGGAAGCAGGAAAAAGAAAAAAAAGCCCGATGAAAACCAAACACACCAGGACCGTCAACACGCCACGAAGGTTCCGAAGAAAAGCAGGGCGTAGTAGTAGCAGCAGCAACAGCAGAAGTTCGGGCGTGTGTACTGATCGGATGCACAGGCGGGGCAACAACGTCCTCGACAGCGGCCGGTCGGAGCGCTCACCTCTTCTGGCTTCCAAGGGTTAGGAAAACCAAGTGTGGCGGTGGCGTTGACGTGACGTCACTCCCTCAATAATTTGGGGGGGGGAGAGAGAATCTGGTGCTTCGGAGACAGACAGGGACGGGGTAGCGGCCGCACGACTTCTTGACTGCCCGATGAAACGGCGGCAGACAGATTTCTTGAGCCATTGTTTACTGAGGGCCCCACCACTTAAGAACCAGGGGATAATGAAATCCAGGCTCAATAAAGAAGAACTGTAGGTGCTCGGATAAGAGTCCCATACTAGAATCTATATAAAAAGTCGCTGTTGGGTTACCCCCGCAGAGGAAATAAGAATTGGGTCTTGGAGAAAAAAAGAGGTTCCTATGTTTAGTGGTGACGCCTTCTGTATTCGGAATCTCATCCGGAATAGAGTTCGCTCCAGGATTGCGGACGCTCCTAGAAATACCGCGTCCGCCACGTACCGATTGAGAAATAAACTAGGTGTGGCTTTGTGGTTCGCTACTGGCGTGTGCCGCTTGGCCTTCATGGTGTTGCCGAATCCACAATGAACTGCTGTCCTGGTCTCAGTGTCGGGATGGGCATGGGAAAGAAGTCGGTTGCCTACTCAGCAGTAGCGTTTTGTTCGTGTACCAAAGAAGCCTTTGCGGACAACGTGTTTCGCCACACGGGTGCCGGCGATGCTGTGGCAGGAAAAATGTCGACCGCAAGACGTGGGCCCTGGCTTAAACGTAGCCCAACACAGACATTTTGTGGTTTATAAGTTTCACGGGAAAAGCGGGTGGTTCGTGGGATCAGGGTGACGTGCGCGAGCGCACACTGCCCCCAAGTAGCCCCACCTGACTGCTATTACTTTGGTGATCATTGAGCCTTTGGAAAACCCAACAACCTACTTCGGGAACAAGTTTCCTCTTCTTCAAGCCTGACGAAGTACGTCGCGAGCAAGCCCCGAAATTAGGACAGGGTTTCGCCCACAATTTACGTGTCGATGTCGAGGCAGAAATCGCCCAAGAAAAAATTGCACGTCTGTTGCGCGATCAGAGGAGGCACTGTGACAGCCAACCTCATGTCCATGCATGCCCATCGGAACAATATCAGTTGAGGTCTCACGACCGCTATGTAGCCAGAGCCAAAACAATTTTCAGAGGCGGAGGATACCACCCGGAGACACTCGATGCCTCTAACGGGCCTGAAGGGACTGCTTTCAGAGAAAATGGTTAACCCCAGGTTCTTTCTTTTTCCCTGTGCTAAGACCCGCGGTTCTCGAAAGGCACGAAAAAGTAGCACACTACAGGGGTCGCCAACATGAAACTCGCGTTTTTTTTTCGGGTTCGCAAAACTCTTTTCGATGTTTTTTCAACAGCCCGCACTACGAATTCCACTCCGTCTTTTGCAGCAAATGCGAAGCGTGTGAACGAAATTGGGCTTCCTTCCATTCTTGATGAAAACCGCTGTATGTTGAGTTTTAGCCAATAAACCGGATTTCCAAAATATCGACAAAGTGCTATATGCCCTGCCAAAACTAGATAACAAATAAAACCAACCACCCCACAAAGTAGTTACACGCTAGAGAAACCATTTGACACTAAAGTGACGTAACAGTGGTGGAGGACAGGCGGTGTGGTCGCCCGGAATTCAAACCGCGTCATGAACGACTTTGCGGAAAGTTCTATCTTATTGCGGCCCCAAAACCAAAAACTGAACACCCAATGCCGAAACAAAACACACACCCAATTATCCCCTGTCACCATCAGGACATCCACTCACTGCAAAGACTCCAACACATCCCGTTCGACTGTGGTCATACCTCGAACGGGTAGTCTTTCTGTGTTTGTATTTATTTTTCCTAAAATAATTCATATTTCAGTTTAAACGTCGATTTCTGCACACTTCACTAGTTTAGTCCGTGAGCATGTTTCAATTGTAAAAGTTTAAACGGATGAAGGAATGCAGGAGATTTCAAACGGAAATTTTTGCTGTGATCGGGGTGCAAATGACCATACAAGACGGCTACCAGGACGGTTCATTGGCACTGACTCGGCATACCCAGTTTTTCATGGAATGCCCTTGCGTGGGTCGCCGCCGCGCCGGTGTTACGGGAGCTTATCTACAAGTGCACCACCCTCGGCCTTACCCGGGAACAAACCATCCTCGACCACCAGCAGTGGCGACATCCTGAACAACCAGCCGTGGACACTGCTGGTTATCGAGGATGGTTTGTTCCCGGGTAAGGCCAAGGGTGGTGCACTTGTAGATAAGCTCCCGTAGCACCGGCACGGTGTCGACCCACGTAAGGGCATTTCGCGCAAAAGCAGAAACGAAACCCAATTTCGTTGACACGATGCGCATCTGCTACAAAGAACGGAGTGCCATTCGTACGGCGGGCTCTAGCAAAAAAATTAAAAAAAAACTTTGCGAACCATAAAAAGAAAACGCGAGTTTCATCTTGGCGACCCCTGTAGTATGTGCCGCCTTTTGCGGTTAGTTTGTCTGTGACCACGGAAGGCGTCGGCACTATTGTTCATATCAAGACCGCCAACAACAAGTGCTTGGCAAACGCATCTGTGTCCGCGTACGGAGATCAACTTGCGTGCACTCCCGTGGGTAGATGGGAGACTCGTTCGTGACGAGTTTACCCAACAAACCGCTTAGAGAGTGAAAACCGAGAATTTCCGGGGGCATGAAGTGGGAAGGGAGGCGTCGGGGGAACACAAGAGGGGTGTGCGTCGTGCTCCATAGCCTCCGTGATCTCACCCCTAGCGACGATTGGATACCTTCGGAAGGGGGCCGGAGGATCGGTATCAGTCCCATGCCTAGGAGCGTGGTTTTCCGAAGGCGGCGTTTATATTGTTTTTTTTTCTTCGGCGCTTTTTTACTCGAAGTTCTCCATCTGCGCACTCGTTCTCAAGACTCGGACAAAAAACAGACCAACACTAGACTAGATCAGACTTCGAACGTACGCGATCCGGATTCGTACAATCCAAACCTAGACGTGGCTTTCCTTGCTACACCCCACAACCTCGTCACCACAGAACTTGCGAACATGCCGCAAGAAAGAATAGGGCACCGTTCGGCGAGACCCGGTCTGCCCGACCATCCTCAACGACAACGAATTCCGCAGCCGGATTCCGGCATGCTTCGTGACCAACGCACGCTCCCACCCGCTAAGGATGCATCGGTACTCTACAAAAACAATTAAAAAAATACGAGGCCAACTCTCTCGTAAGATTTCAGCATGTCTTCATCAGAACGAATGAAATGTCTCTTCTTGCTTCTCAAGATCGACAAGATTTTACACCCCCACAAACCGAGCTCGCCAGCCCGTTTTCACAGAGCTGCCTCACTGAGCACACATCGATTGTTGGCCGTGTGGGGCTCTGCCGTACGATCCCCCATCTTTCGCTCTCTTCCGAACCGGAGAGGCTCGTATTCTTGCAAAGCTCTCTCCGGGGAAGTGAAACCGCCCCCCACGGTCGCGTGTGTCCAAACAGCACTTGCGCAGAGACATGGATGCCCCCAAGACGAGCCAAAACCCAATCGCCTGCACCCACACAGACGAGCAGGCGCACGAAACGCGTGCTGCCTCTGCGAGCCCCTCCCCCTCCCCCCCCCCCCCCCTCTACTCCTGTCCCCGGTACCCCCGCCCCTTCCTCGGCGGCGGAACCATCTCCCTCTTCGCCCTCTGCTTCCGCCGAGCTTCCCGACTCCCCCCCCTCTCCCCCGGAGGGGCTGGTCTCACCTGACCCCGCCCCCCCGGAGTCCCCAGCCGCCGGCGCCGGCGCCGCTGCTGGTGTCGCCACCGCTGCCGCTGCCGCTGAAGGCGCCGCCGCTGCTGCTGGTGTCGCCGGGGCTGCTGACGTCGCCGAGTCTGCCGCTGGCGTGGGGGCAGGCGTGGCGGCACCCGTGCCTGCTGTGGCGGGGAGGAGGGCGCCTGCCGCCTGTTCCTGTTGTTTCGTGGGGTAAGGAAAGGAGAGGGAACGGAGATGTTTGGGGTTCATGAGGGAAGGGGCGGGAAGGAGACGGGGGGGAACAAACGGAGATGTATTGGGAAACGCGGAACGTCATCTACTGATCTGCGGGTACTCTAGGGGCGTGGTGGGGTCCTGAAAGCGAGAAAATGTCCGTAAAACTATGCTCCGCTGTTGTTTTCACATTCTGGGGCACTGTCCGTGCTTTTGGAAAACACTTGTGTTCTTGAAGCGGGGAGTGTTCAAAATTGTGGTTGGTGGGACGACTGTAACCACCTTTGAACCGTCCCGTCGAGAGCGTTCCGAAAACGTACCATAATTTGATGTTGGCTATCTATTCGTGTTCGGGAATTTGAAAATGGGTTCAGCGGGAGTGGTGTCTTAGGAAACCTACGGTACTTTTTGCCTTTGACAGCCTGAGATACCCCAACCAAAGCTGAAAAAGCCTGGTCCACAAAGATGCCCCACCCTCGTTAACTGGGCACCAAGCGCCACACTCTTTGCACCGTAATGCGTTGTACCACAGACAGGGTCATACACACGAAACCGGAAAACAAAAAAAAGGCCTCATTTTCGACATGGCAAAAAGAGAGAGAGGTCGGAACGTTGCTTTCGTTTGTTTATATTATGTGGTGAAGGCAACAACAACAACAACAATGACAATCCTGTCGCGAAAGGCTCACCTGCTCCTGAGGGGAGAAGCCCATGTTCTGGAGGATGCTTTGCAAGTTCTGGATGTTTAGACCTTGCTCGCTAGGGTTGCCGCCGGTGCCCGACGACCCGCCCGGTGCTCCCAACCCAGAGGCGCCTGCCCCCCCTCCCTGCTTGGCAGCACCAAAACATCGAGGGGTTTCAACATAGGAGAGAGGCGGGATAAATATTGGGACGAAACGTAGAGGGCATAACTCGGCGCAAGTGAGGGGTCATCTATTCGACGCACCCCTCCGGGTGTTTATCTTACCCCCATCTCGGCGCGAGGATATTAACGACCACAGAAATATAGCTGCTTCTCCTGAACACGACACGTTGCCGTACAGAGCCGCCCTTGTGATTGCACTACCAATTTTCAGGACGACGCCCCAAGGTCTAACCTACGAACCCACCAGCCTCCGAGGGAACCGGTGATTACGACTCTCGACAAAATAGGTCAATCAAACAGGCTTCCTGCCTCACCATGCTCGAAACGAGGCCAACAGGTAAGACTATGTACGAAACAGGTTTCTGCCTCACCATGCTTGAAATGAGGCCATTCTATTTGTCGATGTACCAGCAAGGTTTCTGCCCCACCACGCTCGAAACGAGGCCAATATGTAAGCCTGTGTACCAATCAGGTTGCTGCTTCACCATGCTTGAAATGAGACCATTATGTAGGTCTACTTGTATGCACCCAGCAGGTTTCTGCCTCACCATGCTCGAAACGAGGCCAAAATGTAAGCCTTCTGTGCCAAACAGGTTGCTGCCTCACCATGCTTGAAACAAGGCCATTCTACATGTCCATGTACCAACAAGGTTTCTGCCCCACCACGCTCGAAAGGAGCTCGGCACACCATGCATGTATTGCAGTGCTACCAAACACGTTTCTGTCACACTCGCTCACCATGCTCGAAAGGAGGCCCATCATGTCTGTGCCAGCGCCACCCCTCGCGGAAGGTGCGTCGTCCGCTGGAGGCGAGTTGGTCAGCTCGTTCACTTTCTTCATGTTCTCCTGCTCGCCGTCCCGCCACGCACGCCACACAACGCAACGCAAACAACAAAAAACATGTCGGGACGCCAAACGCTTGCGATATAGGGAAGCCGGGGTTGTCCCAAAACGTAGCGGTGAAACAATGACACGCCCTTGGCTTCTTTGTTGTCAGAAACGAAGGAGACAATGGCACGTCCTGGCGGTCCATGTTATCAGTCAAGCGGTGGTAGACAACAGCCGTGCTAGTCCATGTTGTCAGACAAGTAGTGATAAACAACGGCCTTGTTAGTCCATGGTATCAGACAAGTGGTAGTTGTTACCAATGTCAAGCTCGTTTGGTCCTTTCGTTGTGGCAACGTTGGTTTATTGTTGTGATTTGCTGACAAAGTCGTGTGCTGGGGACATGGGGCAGCGAACAAAAGTATCAGAGCCCAGTCCACGTGGTACTACCTATTGCGACAAAACGCGGTGCAACTTTTGGCGCGGCTGACAGTAGCATAAAACAAGACAAGACGTGGCAGGAAAGAAACAGTCGAAACTTCCGGCAACACGCACCTTGACCTTGTTTGACACCAGAAGAGTAATAGAGTAATCAAAAACTTTTAAGAAGCGGCAGGACCACACGAACCAGGTTGCCGGTTACAGTACTGGTTAGGTCGGTGATACGCATGCATGCCTACCTCGTCCTTGTCCGAGTCTTTGTCCTGCATCCAGTAGAAGAAGCGCCGGTTGCCGGCGATCTCCATGAGAAACACCCTCTCGCCCTCTCGCCCGGTGTCGACCTTCTTGTACACGGCCTCCTCGGGGAGAATGATTATGTCCTACGCATAGAGCAGTCGGTATCACATCAACCAAAATTGTACGCATGCCATGGCAGCGGCAGGAGCCATGGCGACACACGCGCGAGGACAAGGAACGGAAACAAAAAACAAAGGATGAGCCTTCCGGTTCGCAAGACATTTGAAGCCTACCACTCTGTTCGGCAATATAAGGACCATTTGGATACTAACGTGACTGTCCTAATGGTCCCTATACTTCCGCACAGAGTGGTACTCAGTTTGACAATAACTAGAAGCGAGGCTTGCTCCTTCGGGTGAGCATTGAATTGGCCGCTGAAATCATTCCATGGAGAGGTGGGGCCACAACTGAGTACAGCACTTTTTAGTGTGAAAAGGTAAAGACTTGTGCGGTAGATATATTCTACCATTGCTCACGGTCGACAGACAAATTATTCAGGCTCGGTGCCGAGGGTGAAAACGATCGATCGACGCCTTGATTTCACCAGGGCATGGGTAGATACAGTGCCCCATGCTCCTTGCCTAGGGGGTGTACGCGCCGACGCAAGCACCGGAGCGGGCATGGGTCCCCTGCTCTTGTGTATCTACTGATCTCGTCTTCTCGCCAAGAAGATTCAAGGTTCCCCTTGGGGAATTGCGCGAACGTCGCGAACAGAGTGGTATCCTAACACAATCCCAATCCTATTTCGACTTGATAATCTTGAAAGGAAAACGCGATATTACAAAAACATATTGGCGAAAAAACAAATCGCGAGAGAGCTTTGGTCTCACGCTGCGGTAAACCGTACTCACATCAACGACGGTCCCGCTTGGCCTCTCCTTCCATGCGAAGTGCATCAGTTGGTCATCGGGCCCCTTGAACAGGCTGATGGTTCCCTTGCGAAGGTCGGGGGTGATGTGGAACTTCTCTCCCCCCTTGTCGGAGACGTCCATCTTGCCGGCCTTGAAGCTCAGCAGAGGCTGCCGATCCGATCGATGGGATTGTTTCGATCCAAGGGAAAGAAGATATCGTCGAGTTCAGGGCGGGATACGTACGCATAGAGATCGAGCCTTCGAGTACAGGCTGGCAATTCGACGCGCCTGCACAACAAAAAATATCCACTAGTCGTGAAGCTTGCTGTTTTTTTCTCTCATAACTGCTGTCTTGAGGTAAGAGTTAGGCACTGCGGTCTAGGCACTGGTACCAATAGGCAGCATTTCTGACAGTCCCGTCCGGTCTCGAGAAATTAATGCGGTGGAATGCCTTGCTGAGCACTCAACCAATCCGGAAAGGGCCGGCAGGAAGAACGATCGTGCGGGGGGAGTGCACGGAACACACAGCACGTTCCGTTTCACGTGAAAAGCCGCTGTATGCCGCACGTCGCACGTGTGCGATTTACTTTTTGCTGAAAGGAAGAGGCTACTCGAGGCTTTTACTAACAATCAGCCCACGTTCTTCACTCAAGACACCGGTTTCACGAAGGGTATTCCATTATCATCGAGGGTGGGGGCGACATTAGTACCAAAGAAGTAGCGTGGGTCTGAGATCTGCTGAGATGCAAAAGGTTCATCAGTGACAGCAGCAGTTGCTTCCTGGACGGGACACGGGCAGCCGGTATAATAGCTGGGGGTGTGCTCTCGTGCAAGGGGTTTGATTATTATAATAGTTGTAAGCTGTTGTTACCCCCGACTTGCACTCTGGTTACTTGCCGATTTACACCATCTGGAGATACCAATGGAAGACACACACAGTAGACGCAGATGCATTGCATATACAATCCCAGACTGAGGGACCATCTCGAGCAAGCACCATACACACCAGCCACACTGCACCCTGCTGCTACTGCTGTGTTACTATACAGATCACCAGGGCCCAGAGGCTGGCCAAGAGAGAAAAAGAGCGTGCTCGGCGTACAGCGAGCCGAGAAGTTTCCAGCTCAAATATCACCGTTTCAAAGAACACACAAGGACTTAGGGACGCCTGTGGACGTAAGGTCCAGGTTAGTACCACCTTGCGCTACACTACTCCACCCAACTCACCGCCGACCCGCTTGCCGCCGGTGCTCCAGGCGTGGCTCCGAACTGAGGGAACATCGCCATGATGATTCAAGTGGTCGTGTCGTGTTCTCGAGAGATCGCGGAGAATACGACGTGCGGGCGTGCTGTCCCTCTTGACGAAAGTGGCGGCCCCCCGTACCTTCCCAGCTACCGAGAAAACCTAAAGGTAGTCAGGGTGCACCTTGACTACGTAGTTCGGCAGCTGCCGCGTTTCAAGCAGTCCTTCTTCTCTCTCGCAGAAGCTGTGCGATACAGCAAAAGCTTCAAGACACACTTTTTCCCAGTTTTTTCGACCGGTTGGGGGCCCCGCACCCTGATATGCAACATACCCCGTTTCTTCCCTTCCACAGGGCACCTATGTGCAAGACATTTGCAAGACACCACTCTCACACTCGCTGAAGTAACCCAGCAGGTCACACGAGGCGTGGGTCCAGGTCAAGATGGGAGTTCCATGTAAACGAAGGCGTGGGATTCTTTCCAACGAGTCGGCCAGAGCTCCGAGGCGGTCGGCAACGGTGGCGCTGGTGTTGTTGCTGTGCCAAGCACGAGGTCTCGTCGTAGCCCCAGCTTTCTTCCCGCACAACGCCGCCGCCGGCGGTAGCACTCAGCACCGACACACAGCCGCACCGTTGATCCACGCACGTGCCAGTAGAATACGTCCAAGCTCGACGGGAGCGGTCGCAGCTTTCAGGCGAGGGCAGCAAAGAGTGAGACGGAGATCTAGGCTGGAGATGGCCAATCCGGAGGGCACCCAACAGCTAAGAGATCGAGACCTCGAGTTCATGTTTTACGACGAAGCTCAGGTATGCACAGCAGCAGCAGCAGCAGCAGCAGCAGTAGCCGTGTGGGGGAGAGCTACTACGGCCGAGGGGGCACGGGATGGGCTTTAGCGCCGGCCAAGCGAGCCTGGTGGAGGGCAGTTTCCGATACGCACGGTTCGGGCTGCTTTGGTAGGCCCTGGTGCCTGTTCTCGGCAGCGGTGCAACATGTGTACACATGTACAGCGCTTCAGTACCTGCTGTAGTCACCGAAAGCTGCGGGCCCGGTATTGGCACTGCTTCTGTGTCGGCATACATAAGTGTTGCACCACGTGATGGCGCTGAGCGGTGCATTAGGTGGCGTGCATGTGTTCCTCCAAGTATGTTCATGTTGTGCGGAAGGGAACATGCTATGCATACATGCATACAGCAGTGTAGCGGCAGTTGCATCAACAACGTTTTCGTCGATTTGTGGCGGCGATCCTCCTGTCGTGTGCGCGGGTACATGCTTCCACTCACGCAGAGCCGCTTGTTGGCTTCGGCATAGAAATATTTCGTGGAAGCGGGAGAAGAACCCACACCCACCGGACATGTGAATATCCCATGCATACGGATCGTATCAGCCTACTTTGCTGTCCGAATCCCACAATATCCAAAACACCAGTACGCCTTTAGCTCACGGACCTGCAACCACATGCCTGAGAGAGGTACCGCAGCAGCAGTAGCATGCTTTTTTTCTTGTCCCCTGTCTGGTAGACAACATCCTTCCTTCCTCGCCAAATAAGTACAAGCAATTGGAACCAAGACAACTGTTTACAGCCTTACTTCGACACACAGCACCGCCGATGCGCCTCCAGAGTGTCCGCCGACAAATACCTCGCCGTGAACGTTTCGTGTGACAGGTGTATGTTAGGGGTGGAAGTGGCGGCGAGGGAGCGGCATCGTTCAAGGTCATGGCAAAGAAGCAGCGAGGGCAGCCCAACGGAGGTTCGGGAGGCAAGGGTGGAGATGTATCACTGGTGAGAAGAAAGTTGGCCTGATAGCGCTGACCATCATCCCCGCGACTTGAGGTGGAGTTGCCGCTTGAGTGATGCCGCGCCGGTACGCGTACAGCAGTCTTCCCGCGATGAAGGATAGTAACACTGCCCCGGTTAAGATGCCTTTTTTTTTCACAGGCATGGTGCCCCGCAGAATGTACAACATTAGGGGGGGTATGGATCTTTAGGACACTTTCCCACACCTGTTTTATACGCGTGTTGCAAGTCCCCGCAAAAATCGTTTTTTTTTATTACATATTACGACAAGGTATCGATCACGCGGAGCCCCCACAGCCGCCGAATTTCTATGGGACAGACCGTTATTCGTCAACAACTCCGGCTGTAGTGGCGATCCCAAATGTGGCCAACCTTCTAAAGCAACCTTAGGCATGTCTCTACAGCGTGGTGCCATGAATAATCTGGACGGGATCGTTTTTTGAGCGCGTCTAGAGGGTTGAAGGTCAAATTGCGGGGGAACTTGCCAGAGAATTCCAACAAAACTGGAAGCAGACGTACGGGCGTGTTTGGTCGACGTATAGGCGTAGAATGCTTCACTGGAACGACCCTCGTGATGGCGATCCCAAATTCGCCAACCCCTCAATGCTTAGCAGGATGCAGCGCACCCTTCATGCGACTCGCCGAATACCTCACGGCACTTCGCGCTTGGTGATGTAAGAGCCTGGTCCGGTGAGAATCCGGCGTGCTCCGTCCCGGCTTTGTAGGGATGGGAGGTCAATGGTCTAACGACTACGGCATGCACGACTATGAGTACACCCCCCCCCCCTCAATGATACCTTTGCCTATGTTATCCACATTGGCGAAGTCTCGAGCGAGTTCGTCAACTCCTTCGCCCGCATCTAGCAGCGTGAAGTTTGGATCTGAGAGCTGCGGAACGGTCTTGAAGCAGCAGCCCTTTCACTTTTGGTAGCACGGCATCTGCCAAGTTCAGAACGAAACCAGGCCAACCCAACTGTCTGCGCGTGTAGAACACAACATGCTTGAGGTATCCTGCAGGGGTCTGGCACGTAGCTATCTGTGTGAGGAGCACCAGCAGTGACAAAGGTGTGCACCAGATGGTGCGCTGGGCAACCCGTCATGGGGACTTACGCTGGGTACCATCGATTTTCGCGGAGCCCCTTTGTCATATATATTTTTTGCTTTTTGTGGGACTCGCAACAAGAGTGTTTAACGAAAACCCTTTAGTGCCGGAACTGCAATCGTACCTCAAGTCCCACTTTTCTTTGCTGTATATATTTTGTCAGATGGTGGGTTTGTATTCTTCAATTACCTCCAGCTCGACTTCTCCCTCCCGTCGCTGGGACGATATCGCCGTCCATCTTGGTCTCATCACGCCGACGACTGTGTGTGTGTGGCGTTGCTGGTGTGTGGGTTGGACAGGTGTGCGAGAGCAGCCTCAATACCCTTGTCAACTTGAGGGGCACGATGAGCTTCGTGGCACAGAAAGGCACGGCGGGGCAGCAGCGCCTCACCAACGGCAAAGATGGCGGCAGCATCGAGGTAAACGTACCAAGCCACTGCTGTATGCAGTACCTCTGAGATACGTCTTAATTCAGGTACCATTGTCAAGAGATGGTGCCAGTATCGAGGCAAATGTACCAAGCTACTGTACCCCAGCAGGTGTATGCAAGACTCTGAGACACGTCTTAATTCAGGTACCATTGTCAAGAGATGGTACCAGTATGGAGGTACGCGTACAAAGCCTACACCAGCAGGTGTGCGCAATAATCTGAGAGTAACGGTACTTCGTTTTTGAATACTGGTATTATATAACAATGCCAATAGATGATGGCAGAATCGAGGTGAGCGCACCAAGCTGTTCCCAGCAGGTGTGAACAATATTCTGAGAGTAATGACATTCTTTTTAGGACGACATTGCAAAAATATGGCGGCAGTATCGAGGTATATAAGCATACCAAGCTTTCACCAGCAGGTTTTCGCAGTAATGGTACATTGGTAGTAGATGGTAGCAGTATCGAGGTAAGCTTACCAAGCCTACGCAACAGATACGCGCAACAATCTGAAAATGATGTATTTCAGCTTTGTTTCTTCTATGATGCGTCGGGTCAGGGTTTATCGTTGCTGTCGCCGTGTCCCCCGAGGTCGCTCCGATCACCGAGGCCAATCAAACGCCAAAGGTGGAAGATGCCGCCGAGCATTTTCCGAACCGGTGGACGAGTCTCGGGCTTGAATTGAACGCTTAGCTTACGCGAATACACCCACCCACCCTTGGGACCCGATTACAAGCTCCACCGGCCTGCTGGCGCTCCGCTTTCTTGGCGCTACTGCTTTGCGTCCACGGGTCTGCCTCCACCGCCCGTGGCACCCGATTCGAGCTTTCACCGACCTACCTCTCTCTCTGGCGCTTCGCCTCTGCTCGTGCGTCTTTTCTGTTTTTCAGGTCCCGGTTCCTCCGGGCACCGTCGTGAAGGACAGGGATAACGGGGGCGTCGTCCTGGGCGAGCTGAGGGAGGGGGGCGAGCGGCTCGTGGTCGCGAAGGGGGGCTTCGGGGGGAGGGGCAACGCCGCGACTAAGGTACATACCACCACCAGTTGACATATAGGTTGATACTACCAAGTTGAAATATCTGGATACATACCACCAGTTCATATAACTGGATACCACCAGTTGATATTGTTGGATACCACCAGCTGTTGTAGCTGGATATCAGCTGATATAGCTGGATAGCAGCTGATATATGTAGCTGGATAACACACAGCTAAATAGTATTTACTACTCCGTGGTCGTCGTTTGTTAGAAAGGGCGCGCGCGCTGGCTGACTGGTTGCCGAGCGTACATGTCGAGTAGAGATCGATCGCCGCCACCCTGATCGTCTAAGGTTTCCTGGACTGCTGCTGACTGTCTGCGCCGCCGTGCTTTTTTTTTTTTTACCAGTCTGTTTCGTGAAGAGCCGTCCATTTGCCGGGGTCTCCCGTCCCGCCCCCCGCCCCCCCCCGCCCCCACCGAATACATCACGGCGCTTCGCGGTTGGTCATGTGCTAGCCTCTTCTGGTAACAACCCGGCGTGCTCCGTCCCGGCTTTGTAGGGATGCGACATCAATGGTCTAACGACTACGGCATGCGCGGCTATGAGTACATACACACTCACCTCCACCGCAATAGTAGGAAGGAACGGTTGGCCATCGGTGATTGGTCGTGTGGGAACAATGCTCCATCCGTCCTCTCGAAGACGCGTGGTCAATGGTCTAACCGGTAGCATGAAAAAAACATGAGCACGCCCCCTACCCGGCATATCGCCCAGTCCCGGCATTGTAGTGACGCGAGGTCAATGCGTTTACATGAGTACACTGCCCACCTCCTTTCGCCGGTGTGAACATGTAACCATGCATCTCACCACCATCACCCATTATGGCTTCTTTTTTTTTCTTTCTTTTTCAATACAGAACA